TGGCTTTTTCTCCCTGTATGAGCTTCAATCACCAAATTTAGGCTACTCACAAATGAAGAAAGAAAAAGAAAAAATAAAAAAAGCCAAAGTCACTTCCATTGATTATTTTCTCAGCCCCTCACATAGTATCTAACATATAGGAGCTACTTATTAAATGCTAAATATGTGAGTCATGAAAAGCAAAAGGCAGTTGTAGTACGCATGGTCTCAGTATTATAGACAATAAATTCAGACTTTTGAATCCATGTAAAAGCTTCCATGGGGAAAAAAAAATTTAAATGAATGCTGCACTAGAAGGCTAACAGCTGAATTTAGTTTACATCTGAACAACAAAAGAGATGGGAATGAAGGCAATCCGTTCATAAAATGAACCGGGTCTCTTTGTATTACGAGGAAAACCAGAGTCAGTGTGTAAAACATGCACACTAATTTATCATCTTCTTAAGTCATACAAAGCTCTGCATTCTTGTTAGCACTAAGCCTTAATGAGATTGTGTTAAAAGATCTGATTTGTCTTCCTTAGTTGGTGTCTTCTGAAGGGAAACAGAATTTAAGAGGAACCCATTTCATTTCAGCCAGACGTGGCTTTGGGGATCAGTGAAACACAGCTCTCTGCCTGCGCCTGCGGAAACCAGGGTTGAGCTCCTGAGGCTCATCAGAATGCAAGCAGGGGAGCAGGACAGGGAGTGAGCGCCGGCCCCACACCCATATCCATTAGCCAAATGATTAAATCCACATCAGCCCTGTGGCGTAATAAAGCAACTGTAATAGGGCATTGTTACAGGATCAATGTTTCCTGGTTTAAAAATAAACATCAGCCTTTATCCACCAACAGCAAATGATGCTCCCACAGCACTGTTTCATTCAACTGACATCTTTTAATCAGAGCAACCCATATCATGGCAACATTCCAAGGTATCGTAATTGCAAATATTTATGTCAAGTTGGATAATAGCTGTACTTTTGTTGCTAGCTTTTTCTTCCTTTCTAAGGATTTGATTCAGACATTTTCTAATGAGTTAATTCCATTAAGGAAAAAAAATCTAAAATAATTATATTTGAGACAACTTCTCATCCACTTCCACTGATTTCGCATTTAGCTGTAATACATGGCTGTTTATGTGTGCTCTTGTCTTTCACATTTTTCAAAATACTTCTGTAATGAGTAAACTGAAAATGAAACCTCTATTTTTAAGGGTTGTATACGTGGCCACAAATCCCCCAGGTCTGGGTCCCTCAGCACAGAGGTGGGTGACCTTTGTGTGCCCCAGGAACTTTGACAGCTGACCCCTGTGTGCTAAGCACGCAAAGCTGGAGCAGGAGAGCTATGAGTCCTGCCGCAGAGCTCCTCTCACAGCCTCCCAAGCTTGCCTCTCTTATCGTGGTCTTCCATCACTTGCTCCCTTTGATGATTTCCTGGAGAAATGAAGCGCTAATTCAGGAAGAGGACTGAGACACCAGCAGCTCGCCTGTTTTCAAACCTCAGCAGGTCGTTTCTGCAATGCCAGTTTTAATGAACTGCTGCCATTCACATTTAATTTACGAGTTAAGTATAAAGCATTCCCATCGTCACCTCGCTGAGCCAGTCTGGTAATTTTCTCTCTAAAGTCCCCAAATTCATTCCCCAGGAGCATCAAGCAGAGATGTGGAGGCAGTAAGAAAATGGAAAAGGCCTATTCCTTCACTGTCTGAAGTGAGTGCAGCTTCCAAAAGAAAAAGAAGGGGCATCTGAACTGGAGTCCTAATTTTCCCTGCTTGTGCTTGCAAGTAACTGGGCCATGTGTGGAAGCAAACACAGAGAAAAGCTGCACGGGTGGGCAGTGATGGGGGTAGCTCATCCCTCCAGTGAATTTTAGGGTTCAAAGAGTGTCTGAGCATGTAGACCTTCAGAGTCTGACTTAGTTCTAAACCAGAGATTCTGAGCAGTTCTAAACAGGCCCAGCTTATCATGCCAGAGCCTTCATCTCCTCACGCCGGGCAGAGACCCTCCCTGGGACTGAGCTCCATGCACACACGCGCTAGAGATGCTCTGCACGAACAGCAGCGGAACTGACACGGCAACTTCCTTGGAAAGGTTTCTTTCATCGGAGCAGGTCCGTTTGAGCAGGGAAAAAGCATACTCCAAACCTAATCAGGCCAAGGAACCCCGAGGAAGCGTGCTTTGTTGGGACACGTGACCTCGGTGCTGCACTGCGCGCTCCCAAAGAGTGATGGCTGGCCTCACGGGACTCGTGTGCCCGGGAACTACACCCATCCATCCACACTCTACAGGGACTCTCTAAACACGATTCCATTTCTGCTCACCTCGGCAAGCATTCATTCTCAGCAACAGCAAACACGGCTCCAAGTGGGATTAGGATAACTTTCCTCTGAGAAGTACCTTTCTATTAATTCCAGCATCTTACTTCATTCTTTCCCTTCAAGTCAGACAGGCCCAGCAAGAGGTAGGGGTGGCACCACCAGCAGGGCGAGTACTGGCCTCAACGCCGGAGTCCCAAGTGGGAAGGTAAACTGTAACTCAGATGTGCAAGGTAGAGGCCCAGGCCCTTATGTCTTGATTATTTTTTTCTTCTTTTAAACCAAGGGCTTCATAAACCACAGCCAGAAATTTGTACATGGGCCAGTTCTTTTGAGAAAGAACTGAAAATGACAAATGGTACTGGATTTTGGCATGGATTCTGAGTTTGCAAATACAGATTTGTGTGCAAAAATATAGGCACCATTTGAAAACTGTCAAGCTACTTACATATGGTACATATGCTACACACACACGCACACACACAGTTTGTTTTCAAATTAATTTGAAGGGCTATTTAGCTCGAGCTCTCACTACATTCAGCTCTATCTGACTCCACACAGCCTGCAAGCTGGGCACTGATAGCTTTCGATAGCAATTCTGCTCCTCGGATTTGTTTGAAAGCATTTAGGTTTTCATGGATCACTGGAGGTTCTTCATTTCCCCCCCTTCTGTGTTAGGTATAAGCCGTCTCTCTAGGCATAAACTGTCCAGTGGTAAAAATCAATTTTGATTTTATCAATATTTATTACTGCTAGTGCCAGCAGTTTAAAAGACTAGAGAGGAAAAACATGCAAACTAAGAGGAGAAAAGAACTAAAGCCAGGTCCTCACACCTACAAATACCGGCGGCCTGCGGTCCTTAATAGGCACTTTGTATCACACCAAGGGAGTTTAAATTATCGATTTAAAAATTAGATCAATAAAAATTTACAAAGCTCTGTTACTGCTTCTGTGAGCACACTGGCTGGTGCTTCGAAATCCAAGGCTCCCAACAAAGGCGCCGCAGGACCAGTGCCCAAGGGCAGGTTGACTGGGTGGCTTCCTGGCCAGCACCTGACTGGGTTCCAGCCTCGCCCTTTCCGTTATCCCACGCTTGCAATCTGTGCGCAGAGGAGATTGCTGTGAGAGAACCGTGCATTCACCTCCACTTTGCCTCAGGTTCCCCTCTTTGTCACTCCAGAAAAGACGCTCATAACGCACCACGCCTCCGTGTTCTCTGGAGTGCTCAGGGTCTTCCCCAGGCCCCCAAAGCAGCACTTGCTCCACACACATCCTCTTCCCCTGGCACATTCTCTGTTGACCAGAATGTCTCAGAATAACCCACATTCCCAACACTACCCTGCTTCTCTCCCTTTGGAGTTTCCTTCTTCCATCAGTCAAGAAGCAGGATAAACTCGGCATGGCGCACCCCTGTACTCCCAGCACTTGGGAGGCTGAGGAAGGAGGATCGCCTCTTGTTCAAGGACAGCCTAGGCTACATGAGTTTAAAGCCAGCCTGAACTAGATAGCGAGACTGTCTCAAAAAAACAAAAACAAAAAACAAGCAGCAGCATAAACGAACACGCATTCAGCAAGTTCTAACCTCTACAAGGGAAACAGACTGCAGAGCAAGGTCAGTCAAAAGAAAGATGCTTCTGCTTTGTTTTTAACAACTTTGCATTTTTTATTGTTGTTTTTGTTTTGTTTTTGTATTGTTTTTGTTTTTGCTATGACCAAAATCCCCGCATCCTCTGAGAAGCTGAGTACCTTCCCTTAGAGGAACATAAAATATTAAACCACCTTCCCAGACCCAAACAGCAGCCTCCTAGGCACTCCTTAAATCCCACCAGCTGGTTGTCCTTATGGATGGCATTTTATCATCACATGGCCCTGTCTTTTAAGTTTGCAGACCCACACATGGGGCTGTTCTGCACCCCAGCTGCTGCTGGAGGTCCTCAGAATCGTGCCTCTCACAGCCACCATGGGCCGAAAGCGATACAGAGTGATGTGGTGCAGCACTTTTAACTAGCAAACTTTAATGCACATACCAAGAATGAAACGACGAAAGACACCTCACAACTCACTTCTTTTCACCCCCTTTCCTAAGTACCAGAGGTCACATGGAGTCTATAGTAGGGAGTCTACAGTACGGTGGCCTTACCTATTCGCTCATCTTTATCCAAGCAATAGGTGCTTGGTGAAAACCAGGCCTGCTTCCAGCTACTGTACTTATTGTACAGACCAACCACAGCCTCCCGCTCGGCCAGTCTCGAGGTCCTAGGCCCAGCTCACCGACAGCCAGGCTAGGGAGCAATGCGGCTTGAGGCATGTGACTTCTAAGAACCTTTTGCTGAGCTTGTTCTCTAAAATACACACACACACGCACACGCACACACTCTCTCTCTGAGGGCATGCCCGGCACCCATTTACCACTGGTCTCTGGCACAACCTCCCGACCACAGTGGGGACGCGTTCTACTGAGGTAGGGAGGGCGGGGAAGGGCAAGGGCACCAGGCGCAGAGGTTTCAGCAGTTTTATTTTTCATTCTGTCATTTGAAGGCAACCGGAAAAATATATACACATATATATGTGTGCACGTGTGTATAGTTAAATCAGTAAGCGTATTTCTTACTGACGGAGCTCATTTTAAAATCAGCTTTCCAATGACAAAATAGTAACAAATTAATTCCCCCCTGTAGCAAACGTGACAAAATGACAAAAGAATTCTTCATTTTGGGGTTTTATTTTTTTCCTTTTTAAGATGCTACATAGTTGAACAGAATTGGATTGGTCTTTGATGGCATAAAAGTAATTCACAGTCAGACTCTCCATTACCGCTAGATGGATCTGCCGAGGAGCCCTATCGCCCTGTCCCGTCCCACTCGCCCGCTAGCACCCTCACTCCCTGCGGCCCAACTGCCCTAACTCTGAGCCAGGTCCAACAGGCAGGAAGGACAGGCCGAGCCTCTGTGAAGGAACCGTGAGTGGTGGCTGCAAGGTGGTGGGCAAACCTAGAAGACCGGCTGCTTTTCTCCATTAAAAAGGTGACCCAGAGTTGACTGTCCCTCCCTATGACAACTGTTATAACACCCAGAACACTGGCTGATGTTCTCTGGCTCTAGATGACCACCCTCTAACACCCAGAACCTCCAGAGGCAGAGCCCCAGCCCCAGCAGCCACACCAGCCAGATCCACTGGTGCTCCACAGCACAGGTGATGTTTAGGCCCCAGTAGGGACTGTACTCTTGTGACAGTAAGAACACGAGATGAAATACATTAAATAAGTTATATATGCATTAAACATCTCAAATAGCAGTTCAGTCTCACTACATGAACCAAAGGTCATTTAGCTTGGTCCCTTCAAGAGAACAAAGTACGGACTCTAATTTCTGAAGTGCTGGGTCAGTAGAACTGCGCCTCGCCTCCAGACAAGGCACCCCATGCTGCCACGGCACAATGCTTTTCGGCTTCTGCTGCTTTTCATCAGTCCCAGGGAACCGATGGCTTGCACAGAACTGAAGACAAGGAAAAGCAGTCCGGGTGAGAGTGGGCTGTGTGGGGAAACTGTGGACACAACTGCACACCCCACCGCACTGGGCTCCAGCTCCCACAGGCCAGCACCCACAGGCACGGAAGAGTGTCTTGTTTTAAGAGGTAATCCAGCAACATATACCAAGGTCTATCAATGTTTCAAATGAGTTACAATATGCCCTGTGGCATTAATCACTGTTTCCCTTGTCATTAACAGAGATCATTCATTTCCCCTCAATCATTTACTATACATTTTTCACTTTCTAAAAGATTGTTATATTTGTGTGTACATGTGTGTGTGTGTATGTGCACGCGCGCAGGGAGGGGTAATTTAAAGGCAAGACCTGTGAGATGTCATCATACGTTAATTTCTTTTTACACATGGTTATGATAAATTTAAATCCCATGATATGGTGGATCCATCAATCCAATTTGCCATCCTTTGCATGCTGCTTTTACAAGGCAATCTTCCCTATAATGACACCAACAATAAAGAACAAAACCACCAGAGCCAGTAACCGAGTGCTGAGCCCTTCCTCCTTCCCGGTTGCAGCAAGTGCTGCCATGGGGCTGTGGCTCTGCACTGTCTTCCTCATCCGAAGTCCATCTTCTTCCTATGGGAGCAAACACATATTTCAGAAATCAGGCAGAAGATGATACGGTTCCACTATGCTCTGCAAAAGAGGAACTGACTCCTGCAGAGAAGGACCCATTTGAGGCTACTGAGAAGATACAACCAGAGGTGCCTCTTTTCTTCTATCTGTCCTACCACTTTGGAACACTAATCTAAGCAGGGTACTCCTGGGTTCCCCATCATTTATGAAAAAAGCTCTTTAGCAGTTCAGCCAGGTTCTTTGCAACCTCAGCCACATCTATTTTTCCTGGCCTATGCTTTCTTCCTGTATCCAACCCCAATCTTCTGTCCTTCCTGCCTCAAATGATCCGGCTTCCCTAATCAAATCACTGCTGACTTTTAAAGTCACAGGCATTTCCTAACACACACAAGTACAAATCACAAGAAACTACAAATGGGGAACCTGAAGCTTCCAATGTAGAGCTTTTTTTTTTTTTTTTTTTTTGGTTTTTCTCCGGTACCGGGAACCAAACTCACGACCTTGCACTTGCCAGGCAGGCGCTTTTGCCACTGAGCTAAATCCCCAGCCCCAATTTTTTTTTTTTTTTTTTTTTTGGTCCAATGTAGAGCTTTATATGTAATTGATACCTGAGAAGTTACACGTAGGTTGCTGGATCAAATGACATTAAATGTGACTGACCTTCATTCACTTACTTCAAATATTTTCTACTTCATGCATGCATCTCATTAAAGGAGCACCATTGTTTTTTCTTATATATAAAGATACCTAAACACATCTTCCCCCAACCACATGGATGGGTAAGGGGCAGAAACTTCTTTCTTCATTTGCCTCCACTCTCCTGCCTTCACTGTCTTGTACTGCCTGAATACCTTGTAAGTTACTCTGCAGACCTCTGAGGCCACTGCCTATGAACTCTGGACCATGCCCACATTCCCGAACAGGGCCAATATGAGGGTCTTTCTGATCTGCCCAGACTCCCTTCTGCAGCCAGACCTCTTGCTAATTACTCTATCTTGCTCAGCCCTGAATCTCACATAGCAGTGCCACTTTCTGTTCTTTCCCTTTGCTGCTTTCACATTCACCAAGCACCTGGGTGCTCCAGAAGTTCATAGGTGATGAGCCATAGAGTGGACCTTCCCTGCCATCTGCCCTCTTTGTGGGACCATTTTCACATGAATTGTAATCCGTTTTGCCTCTCTCTCTCCCTGCAGCCCCATCCATGGGGCTGGATGTGGCTAAGGATGCAAAGAACCTGGCTGAACCTCTAAAGAGCTTTTCCCATAAATGGTGGGGAACCGAAGAGTACCCTGCTTAGATTACTATTCTACAGTGGTTCTTAATTTGGGGGGATTCAAGAACCCTTTTGAGAACCTGATGAAAACCACAGAAATTTCTCCCCAGGAAAGAAAAAATAGTTCAAAAACAAAAAGCCAGAGGGCTGGGGATGTAGCTCAGTGGCATAAGTGCTTGCCTGGAAAGCCTGAGGTCATGAGTTCGATTCCCGGTACCAAAAAATAAAAAAATAAAATCCTTCAAATTCAGAGGTTCTCCAACTTTCCCTCCAAACACCCTAATGAAAATGGTCATTTTTCTGTACATGGAAAAATAAACGACTGTTACCTTGAACTGCTTGTTCTCCTCCCGAAGTCTCTGGACTTCACTTTGCAGCCTCTTACATTCTTCCATCACCTTCTTAACTTCAGTGTCATCCAGAGAGGAAGTCAGAGATTTAGACACTGATGGTGTTTCTGTCTTTGATGCAGTTGTAGATATAATTTTATTTATTTCTACATCATGCTGTTCAGAAATAAATGAAAGCCCAAGTATCATCAACTATGTAAAAAAAGAATCTTTAATGCAAAGTATTTCTCAGTAAATACCACACAAGGTAACATTTCAACCATACGGTAAAATGTCACACTTATTTTAAAAATGGATCACTTTATCTAGTATGTAATAATCTGAATAAAGCAACTGGGCCCTAGAAATTATGAATAAGGGCAAATAATGAAGTTGGGCTGAGACTAATACTTCAAACAAAGAGAAAAAGGGTGACGCATATTGCACTATCGAATTCCTGCCATGTAAAAATTAGCATACTGTAACTGTGCAAGCTCAGGAGAATTATCAGTCACAAATTACTGTCGCCGGGAAGATCTGGTGTGGGAGGCCCAGGAGCACACTAATAGGGGTGATCTATCTCACCAACTTAGAACTGGAAAGCAGGGACGAAGGGCTCCCCACACTGCTGTGCTTCCGTCTGGAGAGGCCACACATACTTCCTAGGTCCCCTGCAGACTATGCTGTGGTATCTTGAGGTTTAGTAGAGACAGTCAGAGCATGGAAATGCTCAGGTGTTGGGGGGAAAGTATGTGAGGGTCCCTGCCTGAGGAATCTGGGGAACAATCAAAAAACCTAGCCATCTGGCTCTACCCTTCACTTCCCAGAGAGAAGCCCTCACAGGCAAGGCCCCAGGCTACCAAGTCCACCTTTCGCAGAGCTGAAACTGGAATTCAGGTCTTTCTTTTCCAAATGACTTTCTCAGGGCAAAATACACAATGGGAGGACTCGGAGTGGAGAAGAGAGACACAACTGCTCATTCAAAGAAATAAGATAATGACAGTGGTCAGTTGGAGGAAGAAAATGCTACATAGCTTTGACACAAGTCAAAGGCACTCCCGGAGATCGTTCTGGATGACACTGTATTACTAGAATGCTTGAGAACATTTCCATGTCCCAACTCCAACTACTAATGGCCAGGTCAGTTTCAGATGCTTCATTTTTTTAAATTCCTTGAGTTTTAAATATAATTTGAATCTTTTTGACTAGATTGAAGAGAAGTCCAGACGAGCGTTTCAAATACAGTTCTTCTCTTCAACTGGTCACAGCTAAGGCAAAGGCCAGCTCACCTCTGGTTTCGCAGGGAAACAAAGAGAGCTGCCTGCTGGGAAAGGCGCTCCTTGCTCCGCAGGGCACGTATGGCCACGTCTGGAGGCCTTTCAGGGCGTTACAACTGGGGATGCTACTGGTGTCTGATGCACAGAGGGCAAGGGTGCTGCTCCGCACCCCGCAGTGCACAGGAGAGCCCCAGCACAAAGAACGAGCCCACTCAAAACGGTGCTAGTGCTGAGGGTTAGAAATCCTCATCTCGGCTGTTTTTGACTGAAGAGGTAGGTGAGGAAAAGGAGAAAGGTGAGGTGGCGCTAAGGAAAAGAGCTGACAGAACTATTCTGTAAAATGGAACCAAGAGCTTACCACCTGTCCAGTAAGCAAAGGCAAGTGAGTCTCCATTCTGGTCTCGCCCACTGTTTAACCCATAACTCTGGTAAGCCAAAGCACCGCTTTGGGATTTATGACATCTCAGCAGTCAACAGGTTGCACTTTCCAAGGGGAAAGCTTTCAATTAGTTGTCTTTTTGGAGGGGTCTTTTTTGAGACAGGGTCTCGCTATGCAGTTCAGGCTGGCCTTGAACTCACTCTGTAGTCTAGGCTGGCCTTGAACTTGCAGCGATCCTCCTGCCTCAGCCTCCCAAGTGCTGGGATTATAGGCTCAATTAGTTGTCTTTCTACAAAACTTTCAAAGGCTGATTTCATAAAGGCCCACTGATTTGTTGACTTCAGCTTATTTTTTTCTTCAGACATTAGAGAAAGGAAAATAATTTGCCAACTTACATTTTGGTTTTGCAGGAGATGGTATGCAAATAAGCATCAGCTTGCAACATTCAATTACTGTTAACGATAAACATACTTACTGGTTTATCATTTTCTGCTGGCAATTCAAACACACATCTAAGTTTTGAATCCATAAGGTCTTCCGGTTTTGCCTCCTTCCACTAAAACAGTTTAAATTTAATAATCAGGATATTATAAAGCTGCTGGAAGAATAATTTTCCAACTATAACTGACAATTTCAGAAAAATACTCTTAATGAGAAGGCCCTGATGTATATCAAATAAAGAACTTAAGTCTGCTGAGATTTCAATATTTTTAACATGACATGATTAAATATATGAGCTTTCCTGAGTATTTATCACACTTCACAAACCCACAGCCTTGCTGCCTGACTTCTCACAGTTTCCCCGCGCTCCTCACATTACTGGTCTGTTGGAAGCACAGGAACAGTGAGGGCCGCGGGACCAGGTAGGACCTTTCACATCAGGCCTAAAAACCAGAGGTAACTGGTAACTGCTTCTCCTTCAGAAAATGGAGTTTCCTTTGAGGGCACATCCTCCGGAGAAAGTCTAAGAAGGTACCACCTGGGAGTAGTTTCACAACCATCTTGCCAACTAACAAAGGAGCTTATCAACCAGTAAGCCATTCCTACTACGGCTGTGTCAGGGCTGACCCTCTCTCTGAAGAACCCATACCTGCCCCCTCCAGTCTGCTGGTGAGGTACCTCCGCCCCTGATTTACCCCTGCTTTCAGCAGTGCAGGAGGGGAATCTAGGTTATTTTGAGAACTACAGACCAGCACAGCAGGTTACAAAACAGACAAAGGAGTCCACCCCTTCCATAGCCTCCCCAAAATCTGAAAGAAGAGGGAGCCAGAGCAACAATAAACCAAAAACAAGAAACAAACTATGTGTCTGACACCAGCGGACTGCCACACAAATTAAGGCAGAGCCATTCAATGGACTAGCATGCTGCCACTCAAATGACACTGAAGCACATTCAATTACACAGGGAAGGGTGGCAGAATATTAAGAAATTACAAACTACATCGAAACCCATTCCTCTGTGCACATGTTCCAGTGCATATGTGCCTATGTGTGTATATCAAAACAGGATCGGCCAGGGGTCATCACTAGATGCTGATGTCACCCCACGACAGACTGTTAGTGAGCAGGGTACTGACATGGTTTCAAGGTATCAGATGACTGTCACAAACTACCTATTATTACCTATGCTTTGTCACTGAGAGACCTGTTGGTGACCACCTGAGACAAGTGATCAAATAGCATCACTAACAAAGGGACAACCCTGCACATGAAATGCCTTCTCATACGATGCATCCATGATGTTAACTAGAGCACATTCTCGCTAAAAACATTTAACTTGGGTTTAATCATGAGGAAATAATCAGAAGAATCCAGAACATTAGATTTTCTACAAGTAAACTAGCTTCCACTCTAAAAACTTCAAAGTCATGAAAAACAAAAAGGGAGAGCGTCCTTTATTAGAATAAGTACTAAAGGCCATTTTTTGAGAAACTGAAAAATGTCCACCATGGATTTTTCTATTGGATAATAATACTGAATTAAAGCTCATTTTCTTGATTATGCTAATGGCAGTATGGCTCTGTAAGAGACTGTTCTTAAGTACTTAGGGACGACGTGTCATGAATTGTACATCTTGCATGTAAATGGCTCTGCAGAAAAGAAAGTCCATGATAGAAAGGAGCAAAATGTTAACAAATGGCAAACCTAGGTTAAGGTGAGTGGTTGCTGTACTATGTATACCAAAATGAAAGGAAAAATATCTCAAAAACAAGCACAAGGCTCTCATAATACTGATTAGGTCTAGGATGAAAGAATTACAGGTCACTAGTAGATTTAGCTTTTGTTCAACTGTCTATTTCCAAATGTTCCTACAATATATTTTTGTACAAAAATAATTTTTAACTGTTATAAAAATAATCACAGTAGAAAGAGAAATGACCCTTAAATGACACTCAGATAAACAAATAGACACTGGGTCAGGAATTTACAAACACCACATCACTCCTCACAGGCATGTGAGCCGAATTTTTATCTTCATTATATAGGTAACCAAGACCTCAAGAGAGTTTCTCAAACTTGCTCAAGGCCACAATGTCAACAGAAGGCAGAACTCGGCTTCAAAATCAAGATGACCAAGTTCCCGCACTTTCAGTATGTCCTGCATTGAAAGCCAGAAAGAACACTCTTGGATATTACCTATTTTGTACCTATGTTTATTTGATCACATGAATTAACATTAGGTGACACAACATGTTCCAGGAAATAAAAGAGAAAGAAATGAATGCCTCAATGATCATTCTCAGGAAAAAGTCAACCAGTTATCACTGATCTCAACTTAAAAACACCTACCTTGCCCTTCCTTTTCTGTCCCCAAGTGAAACCTCAATAAGATGGTCAGTTATGCTCTTCTAAGACTAAGAGAAAAAACTGAGCAGAGACACTGGGCAAGAAGATGTGTTCTGCATGAAACAGCCCATAAAATAAAATTTGGAAAGATGGAAACGACAGTACAGTGTAAAGCTAACCCTAACCTGCTGACATCTCTTGGATGATTTGGGCCTCTCTCTGGGCTGCCAAAACTGGACACAGAGAAGGTGGAAGGAGTCAGTCCCGCCCTCTTTTCCCCGACTGTGAGGACCAATGCTGCCACTGTTTTGTAAGGTTGCAGAGTGTGATTCACACAGCACCAAAATGTGTGTGTTCATTCAAAAGCTTGCTTTGGGGAGAATTCCCATTATAATCTCTCTTTTTACCAAAACATCAATAAGATTGCCTATTTAATTTCTAAAAGTGAAGTCATCCTAATTTTCAGTTAAACATGTATTTATGCAAGGAAGGGATTAGGGTTAAAAAAAAATTAAAAAGAATTGGGCTGGAGCTATAGTTTGGTGGTAGAGAGGGCACTTCCCTAGCACACACGAGGACCTCTCAGCTCCATGAATAATAAAACAAAGAATCATGCTTAGCAGAACCAGGCCAAAACGGGGTAAAGAAAGTGTAAGCTGCAAAGGACTCTCACATCCTTCTGGGTTTAGGGGAGTGACTCGGGAGGCAAGAAACTTTTTCAACAATGAAGAATTCTCTCTTCTGGGGAACAGACGGGAGGAAGAAAAGGAACAGTCCCCAGTCACTCAAGATACACTCCATCAGGGGAAGAAACTGCTAAAGCAAACTGAATTTATACAAGTCAGAAAAAAATAGTATTCTAGAAAACTTTATAAAATGTTAAAATTATTCATCAAAGTTTAGAAAAACCATAAAAGTCATCAAACATAAACCTGGAAAACACCATTCCCCTGTAAACAATTTTGAAATGCATGCACCCACACAATTCTGTACCTAAGTGATTTTTGTTACTATTACTGAAAAAAATAAGCATTCAGTACTTACTACTGCTTCCATATCAGAAGTGTCAGTTGGAGCAAACATAGACTGAACCATAAACTTGTGTTTACTTTTCTCATTGGGATCATAATCGAAAGGCTGTAACATCACTGAGAAAGAAAATATTTCATTAGGAGGGTCAGAACTTGGTTATCAGTGCCATTTGTCATGCTAACACGTATGCTGTGAGGTAAAGCTCGCCCCCCACCACACCTTGTGAGGAAGCAAGAAGAGATGATAACACTTCCACTTCACAGGTCACCAACCTAAGGTCCAAAAAGGTAGGGGGACTTGCCCAAGGTCAGAAAGCAGGTAGTAGCAAAGGTGGGAGAAAGGCTGAGGACTTAGGACTCAGGTTTCCTGGTTCTAGTTCCCTGGTCTCGCATGCCTGCAAACCAACCATAAACATCTGCCCTGCAGAATAGGTAAACTGGGTAGGAATACCATATCCCTGTTTTGCTCAAGAAAATATAACTTTGAATGATTTGTCAGGAACTAAAATAGAGTAACATAAGACATTTAAAAAACTGTTTCAGGGGCTGGGGGTTTAGCTCAGTGGCAAAAGCGCCTGCCTGGCACGCACAAGGTCGTGAGTTCGGTTCCCGGTACCGGAGAAAAACCAAAAAAAAAAAAAAAAAAAAAAAAACTGTTTCAGCTTCCCTCTACCCCATTTCTCACACAGCTAATCAAGGTAATGCTTCACAACTGTGCAATAAAATAGAATGCTAGAGAACACACATAAACAGAACATTCATAGAACAGAAAAAAAAAAAAACAACACATATCAACTCACACACTACTTCCCTTTCTTCCTAAGATCCTAGAAGAATCTTAAGACGATCCTGTGGATGAGTTGCCTCCACGGCACTGAGGGGCCTCCTTGGGTAACTAGGAATTACTCCTGTTAAACAACGGCTGCTTTAAAATGTCACATGTTACAAGACTTTGGTTAAACTACACATCCAGTTAATTTCCTGAAAACAATTTCACATGCAGGGAAAGACTGCAGCCCTGACCACAAGAGCCAACATGTACTGAGCGTTTCCTCCCGTGTGCCGGAAACTAGGGTCTTTTTTTGCCAGTACCTTCCCTGTCCTGGGGACTGAACCAGTGGTGCTCTACCACTGTGCTACATTCCCAGCCCTGCTGTTTTTACTTTGAAATCGAGTCTCACTGACTCGCTCAGGTGGTCTTAAACTTGCAGTCCTCCTGCCTCAGCTTCTGTTAGCGCTGGGACTACAGGTATGTGCTGCCGTACATGGCTTGGGATCTGTTCTTAGGTCTGTTATTTTCCTCACTTGGTCCTTAAAAGTTTGGTACTATTGTGTGCATGGGTGCGGGGGTGAGGTGTTACTTTGAAGCCTATTTTTCAGATTAATAAACTGAAGCACAAAGAAGTTAACAACACGTCTAAGGTCACACCACTAAGGAGCACAAACTCAGTCTGTACGGAGAGCGCATGCTCTCAATAACCACAAATGACCAATGGTGTGTCCTCTGACACTGTCAGGCCCTCCGACCAGTGTGGGTTCCTTGACCTTTCCTCGTGGGTATCCACCAGTGTTCCAACTTTAAATCCCACCTTAGGGTTTCCCAGGTGCTTCCTCTTCCTCTAAAGCCTCACAACCAACCATCCCTGCAGCATATAAAGGGAAATACGGGTGTCTTTAGCCCCAGGCTATGCATAAAGAGCGTGCGACTGCACAAAGTAGCTAGCTCCAAGTAACAATGTTAGGAAGCAGTAAAACAGGAAAGGAGTCAAAACCTTATGACTGAGCATAGTCAAGCAGTCTTTCCAAGTCGCCAATCACTCTAACATGATCTGGTGTTACGTTATGCACCAAGGCTCCACGGCAGAACTTATGGAACCATGCATGGCAGGGAACAGAAACATCCATTCTCCACCCATCTTGGAGGCAGGAATTCTTCCGCCCTGGAGACAGAGAAAGTCCATAAAAGCCTGACAACTCACTGGCTTGAAATGCATGGGTATACCTAGTCACCAGGTGGCTCTGCTGCCACAACACCCACCTGAGTGCTCAGAGCTACAAGAGGCCCTGCCAGAAGACTTCTTCAGGACACAATTCAACAAATGTTAGAAAACAACCCCTATATTAACTTAGGGCTTATATATATATATATGCATGACACCAAGTCTGTCTAGTAAAACAAGAATTCTCCACCTAGGTACCCAAAATTCAGATAGTATGACTACCAACCGAGGAAACAAAGGGTCACTGCAAAATACAAGGGCCTCTTCTTGGAATCTTACTCTTGCAGGTGTAAAGGCAAAGTTGCTCCAAGAGAAGAGGCCTTGCTAGTGGTGACAGACTCAGAAGACAATGAACTCTTCAGCTGCGATCACCAAGCTAGGGAGCGCTTTCCTGTAGATGGACCCAGAACATCATTACACACCTGGGCCTGACTCTTCACCTCTGGAACAAATGACCAGACTGGCCAGTCAAAGCTCTCACTCTTCTCAAAGTGCAATTTCCACCAGGTTTTTTTCCCTACCCCTAGTGGAAATACCACTATAAACTAAGCAACCCTTCTGTTCCACATGCATTGTGAGTGTTCCTGGACAGTGCTTATCAACCTTTTTCAGAATTTGGACACAATCTTCACATTACTATTGGAACAAAATTCATTTTTAAAAGTAAGATGAATTGAGTTTTGAGGATTTCAGGTCACAGCTTGGATAAATTCAAACAGTCTGGGGAAAAAAGAGAGCTCTGACGTACACTACAACATCTGGGTTTTTTAAAGGGCTCAGGAAGCTGGGTAGCCCCCTTTTTGTTCCTCTTCCCCTTTTTTGCAGCAGTGCAAATGAGAATAGCTAAGTGCACTCTGCCCTAAATTTGCCAGGGTTCTAGGCACGCCCCCCAGCGAAGGGCCAATTCTTCTTACTCATCTATCCGCATTGCCCACTTTTCGCAACCCCAATACTTCCATCATGCCCCAAGAAGGAAAGGAAGGAAAATAACCTTTACTGCTAGGTTTGAGCTACTAATGAAGGCATGGGTTCTTTAGGCCTTCCATTTAATCCTCACAATAATCCAGGAAAGCAGCTCATGTCTCTCTTTTCTAGATGAAAAGACAAAGACCTAGGAAGCTAGGGAAGCAGCCTAATGGCCAATGTATTAAATAACAGAGCCAGGGTTCCAACCTGGCTCTGACTCTACAGTCAGACTCCCATACCACAGATTCTCAATGTGGGATCTGCAGACTCTGAAGGTCTGGCCCCTGCCCCAGGTCAGGTTTCATTGGTACATGAAATCAAAACTATAGTCAGAATAATAGCAAAGCATCACATGCCTTTACTGCTGTGCTGATACTCACACTGACGGTGTAAACACAACAATGGCATCTTAGCAAAGATTAAGGCTGTGGAAGCAAATGGTGCTTAATGCCACTGTATTATGTACCACTACACACCTTCTGTTTGATTTTTTTAAGCCAGTTTCATTCAAGAATATCTTTGACAAAGCAAGAGAAATATTAATTTTACTAAATGCAGACCTTTACAACACATCTTTTTAATACTCTTTACAATGAAATGACACTTCTGCTACCCACTAAATCCAAATGCTGCCCTGAGAAAGCACCAGGCAACTGTCTGGGCTGTGAGCTGGACTGGCTGCCTCCCGCAGAAAACTCTCACTTGAATAACTACACATTTTTTTTTTTTTAGACAGGGTCTCCCTTATGCAGTTCAGGTTGGCCTTGAGCTCACTTTGTAGCCCAGGCTGGTCTCGAACTCACAGCAATCCTCCTGCCTCAGCCTCCCGAGTGCTGGGATTACAGGCATGCACCACCATGCCCAGCTCTCACTTGAATAAACAACTGACAGACAAACTCTGGTTACTCAGACTCTGGCATGTGGCATACATTCTCTTGAAAATGAAGTAACCCTGTCACTTCAAGGAAAGCAATCTGTGGTGCTTACCGCCAGCACTAAAATCTACGCTTTCTAGCAAAACTTGTAATTGTGGAAAACTTGTACATGTCACCAAGAGCTTCATAGTTTTCCAAGTAAAGACTCTTCCGGCTGGAAATGTAGGTCAATGTAAAGTACTTGCCAAGTATGCATGAAGTCATGGGTTTGATCCCCAGCACAACAAAATAAATAAATAAAAATAAATATTCTTCCAATGAGATCAGAGGGAACAGTAAAGAATGTGCTTTTTAAAATACTGTATGATGAACTATGTCAACATTTGAAAGCTCTATATAACCCAGCTAATCAATAGTTTACAAATGATCCATGGCAACATCACAAAATCCATTCAAAGTGCAAGACAGACCAATGTATTTCAGTGAAACAAAATGTAAAAAGTTCCCGTATGTGGATTAGGACCCCACATCATACCAATACCCTTTAGGAAAGTGCCGCTTGTCTCTCTTGGGTCCTTGCTTCCAAGATGATAAATAAAGGGATAACCATCACACCCAAGGGCTGCAGCCACAGGCAGCATGTTCACTGGGTGTCCGCCCGTGAAAGAGCTGCAGACCGCACCAACAATAAAGCCACCAGGAAGGTCACCCTTCCAGACACAGTGGGGGTCCCCAGCAGTAAGAGCCTTTCTGCAGTACGTGTCTTTCTGCCCGTGCGCATCTCAAGCAGTGTGTGAAGCTACAACGCTACATGAGTTGTCTGTGTCCAGTCCAGTGGTTGAAAATTTGGTCAGTAACCAGTTTCATGAAACCTGAAGAGACCAACACTCTTGCCCCCGTTTAGACCTGCTGATGCTGCCCCCTGGCCTCTAAAGCCCGTTAAGGAGCTAAGTCCTTAAGGACTAAAGAAAAACTAGCCTCTGGGGGGGGAAAAATGATACTTTTTTAAAGGTGAAGGAAAGGGCCAGGGATGTAGTGCTGTGGTAGAGCACTGCCTAATGTGTGCAAAGGCCTGGGTATGACAGCCAGCACTACAAAAAATAAAGTTAAATAAGAAAGTACTACTTATCAAGATCTGCCATAATATCAAAGCAGAATGTCTAGAATTATCTGAAAAGTTTATTAAGCAGACTTTCCCTCTCCAATCCCTACCTGTGGTAACACATTTACCAAAACAACGCATCAGTTATCAGAATGAATATAAAAGCAGATATAA